CTCTCTCTCTCTCACACACACACACACACACACACACACACACACACACACACACACACACACACACACAGGCGTGCGCGCGAACACGCACACATGCACAGGCACGCACACAGGCACACGCGCACACACACACACGCGCGCACACATGCACACGCACACAAACACGCACACAGGCACACACACACGCACACAGATACACATGCACACAGGCACACACACACACACATGCTCACACACACACAAGCACACGCACACACACACACATAGACACTCGGACACACACACACACACATGCACAGACACACGCGCACACACACAAAAGAAAACTGGAGCTTGATTCTGATCCTGTTTTGACGGTAAGGGGGAAAAGCAGGTCTGGGGTGCAGTTGTTGAATAGGATTACAATAGAGAATTTTAACATTTTTTGAGATTGGGCAGTGTATTGCACAGGAGAGACTGTACCGACCGTATCTAGATCGTAATTGATAACAGATGGGAAGGCCGATATGATCTTGCCCAAGTCCTCATCCTCCGCTCCTTCGCTCTTCAAGTACGCCATTATTGGCCGGATCTGTTTGTCGATCTCCTGTGAAGATTCTAGAAACGCCGGATTTTTCAAGATAAGTGTGCCAAGCTTCTCCTTGGGCATCTTGAGCTCTCCCATGTACCAAAGAACCGGAGCCATCACGTCCAGCACGTCAGACAGCAGCACTCGTGGGTTCCTTCTGACAATCATGGCCACGTGGCTGTCTGACAAGCCCAGTTCTTTGAGCTGGGCAATTTTTGTCCTGATCTCCTCCACACCTACGCTCAGTATCTCTGGACGCTGCCTCAGGACCTTTACAAGTCTCAGCTTGCCGATCCCAACCTCCTCTGCCAGACACATCATCACTGCTTCTAACTGCTCTAGGGAACGGGACAAGAGGGCGGGGCAGCGTGTCAGTGCCGTCGGCAGATCAGAAAGCCGAAGACCCCCTTGACGCAGGAGCTCGACACGTGCCCTTAGCACATCCACGCTGTCTGCACCTGTCAGGATCTTCGGCACATCAGCAGCCTTCACACCCAGGTCTTCCAGGAAAGCGACGAGCTTAGGAATACCTGTCTTCTCGGCGCAATGAGCAATTGTGCCCTTGAACACTTCCGGCCGGACTCTACGAAACTGCCGACCATCTCTGCTGTCACCCACAGATCGTCTTCCTGTGCTCTCGACCTGCTGGACCACCTCTTCCTCTCCGCCCTGATCCCCTTCAATGCTCCTCAACTCCCCCCTCCTCCCTTCCCCCCTCCGCCTCCTCCTCCTCCAACTCTCCACATCATTGCCTTCTTCTTCTTCTTCTTCTTCTTCGTCGTCGTCGTCGTCGTCGTCGTCGTCATCGACGTCGTCATTGTCGTCATCGTCATCGTCTTTCTCCTCCTCATCTTCAGAGTCCTCCTCCTCCTCCTGGCCATCTTCTGACAGCAACAATTCTCTGGCCTCGCTTATCAAGGACTCGACACAATCGTGGGCATTGCGGACAAATTCGAAGGCGTAGCCCGGGCGCACGCCTGCATCTTCCAGCAGATCTAGAAGGCCATCCACCGCCTCTGAGAATTCCACTGATAAGCTGGACAGGTACAGGTTCTTTGTCTCTGAAAGTGAGGAGGAGGGGCGACCACCCCCATCGCCAAGCAACCCATCCTTAGCTCTGGAGGCAGGAGTCCCTCCACTAGTGTCCGGTTCCCCCACCCTCACCGTCGAATGATTATCTAGGACGGATTGGACAATGGTGCCCCACCGCCTTTCTCTCCTCCTCATAATTTTGGAGCTCAGTCTGTTTCCCCCATGTTGCACCGGCATCAAGGCGGGAACGGAAACCCATGTCCCACCGCTACTGTGGGCCCAATCACAGCCCCGCCACCTAGTGCTCTCGTCCCCAGTGATTCTCTGACAGAAGATGTTATTTGGTAATCGGAGGGATAAGCCGCTGACATGTCGACAGGTCATCGCCAAACCTTCAAGCCTGCTCAGAAGGGTCGCTCTTCTCCTCCTTGTCCTCCTCCTCCTCCAAGTCCTACATGACGCTACAACCTTCAAAAATGCCATCGACCGAATCAAGGAGGGCACCCCACTCATTCGCAGGCTAGCCGTGCCTACATCCATGTGGCGAACAGCTGCGATCGCAATCCATGATGGTGAATAAGCTGGGCTTCTTGTACGGGCACTGACGAGGTTGATTGTGGCCTTCACGTGGTTGTCGTTCGTCGATGAACATAATGACAAGTTCAACATTCCATACGAGTTAGCACAACAGCGATAGCTCTTTAGACTGCGGCATCGATGATGATCGTCGGGAACGCCGCAGTGCCGCACGTCGACCGCGGTGGCGCACGAAGATCGATCAAATTGGCATCCCGTCACCACGTGTATCAAGGAGTTACTACTCACCCGGCCCGCCCAACGATGCACAGGCTTAATCACTCCCACACTGCTCGAGCACATCCCCATAGGTCCCCTCACCGTCATCGTCGCACAGCAAGATGACACGTGGCACTGCGAATGTGTCACCCTCTTCAGTACCACCGGTGTTAGACTCAGAAACCTCAGCTGCCCGTTCCTTCCTGGCCCTGCGGCCCCACTGGCCAGGGAACGACCTGCATGCATCGTGACCGAATGATCATCACTGACGTGGCCTGCGCGTGATGTCAGCCAGGACGAGGGCCCGGCCACAGTTGACAGGCTGGATGCCTGCCGATCATAAAACGTGCCTTCCCGCCGTTTGCCAACAACGATGCTGCCTGAACAACTCTGCAACTCCAAGAGGGTAGCGGCCATACCTCCTCCCTGCGATGCAGCCATGGAAGCGCCGTCCTCTGCTACCCCTATGTCTCCCTCCCTCCCTCCCTCCCTCGTTCCCTCCTTTTCTTTAGCCTGTCTCCTTCCCCGATATCAATTTGGTGTGGTAGACTGCGCAATTCATAAGCGTAATTGACGTTTTTCTCCAAGTGGATAAGTAGCCCAGGTCAGAGGGTTTGCCACACGTTCACTGTCGTGACTCTGGGAGCATTACCCATTTCCGCTTACGAGGAACTATCCTCGGACGGAACCAACCCCATCATCACAAGCAACATAACCAGCAGTAAAAACAGGTCAGGCAGATGTTCCCGACGTTGCCGAACAGGGGTATCGTTTCAAGAATGAGAAAAGATTCAAAAGAAACAATAACAGGGGGATGAAGCTGCAGACACGGATCTGACACGCCAATGTACGGATATAGAGCTCTCTTGTTTTTTAGTTTTTGTTTCAAAGTTCATCAACTGAAAGTGGAGGGGGTAAGGACAAGTGAGTTTAGCCTCACGATCCGCGCCTACGGGTCGAACCATTCCCTCTGTTGCCCACACTTTGAAGTATTCTAGTTTGCAGCCCATACTCCATTCTACTTGGGTTCCAGCGTAAAGCTGTGCTGCTCGTGGTTTTAGAGTCGGAAAGCAGGCAGACACTGCTTACCTCTTGTGCCCCTTTTTCCCTCCCACCCCTTTTCACATCTCTTCCCATTTGGAAAATACATTCTGCAGCTCTCATCGTTGGCTTTTCCTACACCAGGTTGTCTACTAAATCAATGCTACGTTCGATAAGAGAATTATCACCACAGCTCAAACGGAAAAAAAAAAAAACAGTAATCACCAGCTCAAAATATCTTTGTACAAGAAACAATAATCACCAGCTCAAACTAACTTCTCAAGCAACAGTTGTGAGGATTGAGCCCTCAAGTAGGGGCCTTGCCATGATGTACATGTTCTGGGCTAAGGCCCCAGCAAGCCTCGTGCCCGCCCTAAGTGAAGGCGGGCAAGCAAATCAACAAGAACCCTCTGTGACAACATTTCACGAAGTGGGGTCCATACAGTTGCAGCACGCCAGTTGGTTGGAGTGCACCGAGTCTGGGATCTCAGCAAATGTGGAAATCCCAGGGCCTCTGAGTTAGTTAGGCCCTGGGCACTTGAACGTGAGGCCGACAATGCATGCTGGGTAGACAGGCCGAAAATGCCAAAGGGAAATCGGCCCACTATCTGAATCTGGCCGCAGGCCTTGATGAAAGAGGCGCAACTGCATGCCCCGGGCCTCAACTGTATCGGGCCTGCGTTCAGCCACTGGGGCCCAGACGCAGGCTGAAGGGAGGCCGCCCACACGCAACACTGGCATATAGGCAAGCAGGGCGAGTGGGCAGGCATCCTTGGCCAATGCAGGCATTGCCGGCATGCTGCGCGAATGCGGGTGCGCTGCCTGGGCGCAGGGCGCTGGCGGCCATAGCCGGGTTGCTGGCGGGCGCAGGGGAGGTGAGGGCGAAGGTGGTTCTTCGGAGGTGAAGGGCGCTGTGTGGGTAACAAGGGAGAGTGTGGGTGAAGAGGACACGTACCTGGTGGAGGTGGAGGTCGGCATTGGTGTTGACATCATCACTCGCTGGTAGTCAAGTTGTCTGGTTGCTTTCATTGCTGTAGTTGTAGGCTTAGTCTGTAGAG